TCTCAACTGTCAATCAACTGGTGTATAGGTTCCTGAGCCTACTGGGCTCTATCCTATCTCTATTTGAATCTGTGTATGGAGTCTGCCTCCACCACATCACTGCCTAATGCATTCCAGAAGTGTATCACTGCGAGTGATACTCAAGACCTCCCTGAAGCCACCAACACAGTGACAAGTGGACCGCTAAAGTAGTCAACATTCCTGTCACTAGTGCCATTCTCTAAGGATCCGAGGACCTGAGAGAATGTAAAAGAATTTTCCTGAGACCCCAGAAAAAAAGAACACTCTTGGAACAGTCTTTGTAACGAATAGATATTAATAACAATATCAATAAATGTTTCTCGGATTTGAAAGACTTTATGCTAGAAATGCTTTACTTTCGTAGAAGCTCAATACACTACGTGTCAAATATGTTTCCGTCCATGCGACAGTTATAGAGAACAATTCTCCCACTTAAAACTTCAAGATAAAAAGTGATAATATCTGAGACGCTTGGGAACAACCCGCTAGACAATATATACGAAGACTTTACTGAGTCCTGTAAACATTACTCGTTATACTGATTTTTATTGACGGTAAAATGAAAGGCAATCAGTGCAAGATGAAAGTTTGACTATATGTGCAACTTCCTAGTGAGCAAGTCTCAGAGTTAAAGTTTGACGTTGGGTGTGCAACTTGCAAGAAACAGGTCACTTATTCAGCATCCAGAGATCAAAAGGCATCTTTGTAAAAGTTCTGCATTATAAAGCTTCTCGCTTGTTGCCAAATCTTTTCTCCTTTTGATATCTAACACAGTTGAGTATTAAAACGACATGTATCTCACATTTCGTAGAGGCGCTAGAAAGAATATGACGACACACAAATATTCTTGCCCAAAATCAGGTAACAACGATATCAAGTTTAATATAGAAAAGTTTCACTTTCCGCATTTTGCGAGGAATGTAAAAAGTTTAAAATAAAAATGACACATTTCCTTAGGTTTCATCGTTAGGAAAATTGGATCAGCCCATCCTAAGGAGGACCAAATAAACCTGCCTAACTGTATTGATTTCAACATGAAAACACAAGAGTTATAAGAGATGCCTCAGGAAAATATAGAGCCCAACAGACAATCCATCTGACACATGCTGAAAAAGTATATAAAGAAAACATATGTATGTGCTGATTAGCATTGTAAATGTGTGGCCACGTATGTGGTAGAAAATAATAATAATAACAAAATTCAGTAACTCTGGTAGATATAAAATACTGGTAGACTCCAGATAGATACTTCTTTCTTTACCAAGGTACAAATGTAAACTTTGCCACTACTTTCTCATATATATCCATTTTAAAGTCAAGTTTATATTAGGGGTATTCTGAGCAAATACAAAGATAACCAAATATCGTACAAGACGAATTAGGTTGGTTCTCAGAGGAAACATTTTGTACGGATGAGATATTAACACTGAGGATGATACTAGAGAAAGTGTTGAAGACAGGAAAATAGTATTACCTGCCTCGCGTGACTATGGAGACATATCAAGTAAACAAGGACGAGTTGTTGACTGAAGAGTTTAGGGAATGATGAGAGGTGAATGTTACAGCAGTTAAGGAACTAATACAGAACCGGTGGTCAGTGCAGGTTAAAGTAAGAGCTACTATCTACGGGCTCACCATAGCCCGTGCTACTTGGAACTTTTTGTTCTAGGTAGCGAATCTTAAACAACAACAACAGTGAGAGCTAGTGAACGTTTGGGTGATTGACCTGAAACACAAAAGCGAGATATGTACGGAATACATGAGGAATCCAACCCTTACCGACCACAGCAATGTTAATGATATTACCAAAAAGTCAAATATCGAGAGAGATATACTTGGAAAAATTCCCTGCATAATTATCATTCTTTGGTGATGTGTGGAAGTCAGTACTCTTGGAATTGCCCAATTTTTCCTCTGTTTATTTAGGTTATGCTTCATGTGATTAGGAAATAAATGCACAGTGCAAATATGCCAAGAAGAGATTTTAATGTCTGATGGAGTTTTATAGATTTGTATTTCTGAAACACTGTATGGGGGCTCCAGGGTGCTACTTCTCAACCAATCACTCTCTGGTAACTAAACAGAACTTCTTACTCATCTTTTTCATATCATAATGAGTTACATTTCTTTCCTCATTTCCATATATTTATCCCTCGTGCTTTCCTTCCTCAGGCGCCGTTATGAGGGAACCAGACTTATGCTAACAAGGAGATTTGGGGGAAGCATTAAGCGATATGCAGTTGTATTATTCCTCGCTCTACCCGCAGGGAACGGGGGACACCTTCGATCCTTCCGGGGGTACAGAACCCGAAATCATTCCCCACCGGGTTCCTAGAGAATACTGAAATCCATAATCTGATATCATATATGATTCTAAAACTTGGGGGGTCACTCCTGTGCATGTAAGGTTAATTATATTGTAAATGTTGAGTTCTTGAATGCGTTTTTGTCCGTGTAATTCCTTAAGGTATGAAGGAGAGTTCCTTTCACTTTCAACTTTAGTGCCTTTCATTTATTATAGTTCCTTTCATTCCCAAGACGAAGCTGGAAAAAGTTCAGAGGTATGCTACTAGGCTAGTCTCAGAACTAGGAGGCATACGTTTCGAGGAAAGGCTGAGTGAAATGCACCTCACGTCGCATGAAGACTGGAGATCACGGGAAGACATGATCACTACGAACAAAATCATTGGAGAAACTGACAGGGTAGATAAGGATAAACTGTTTAACACGGGTGGTACGCGAACAAAGGGACACAGGTGGAAACTGAGGACCCAAATGAGTCACAGACTTTAAAGAGAACTTTTTCAGTGTCAGAGTAATTAACGGATGGAATGCATTAGGCAGTGATGTGGTGGAGGCTGACTCCATACACAGTTTCAAATGTAGATATGATTCCTGAGCCCAGTAGGCTCAGGAATCTGTACACCAGTTGACTGACAGTTGAGAGGCGGGACCAAAAAGCCAGAGCTCAACCCCGCAAGCATAACTAGACGAGCACAAAACACACACACGCGCATGTTAAACTTCTAAAAAAATCTGGTAAAAATTGTCATTTTTTTATGTTAGTAATCGCAAGGTCATATTTCCGTGTTACTGTGCTATCACGTTTTAAAATACCTCACTAACTGAGAGCCATGTAACCTGACGCGGAGCTCGAGTGTGTTGCAGGATTGGTTGCCGGTCCAGCAAAACAAACAACACACTCAGCCTGAGTGGAACACAAGCAACACTCCCACGTCCACTTAAACGTTTGTAAATCCGACTCCGAGCGGAACAAAACCCCCGGGAATCCGAAAATAAGGGATTTGAACCTGATCCTGCAGCGCATTCGACGTTGAAACAAACAGTTGAATGGATACATTAGTGTTTAGTACTGCTCTTTTGCTTCTAGCCTTTCGAGTCACGTAAAAGAGACATACGATTAAATTTAAATATATTTAAGCCATTCTAGCAGACAAAACAAAGCATTAATAACGAAACACTCAGACATTTTACTATTGAACTTTGTTCCTAGAATATGAATTATTCTTTATTCGTGATATCTTATACAAATAGTTTCCATTCTTGCTATATTGAATAGATGTACCGAAGAGCAATATAAATCGAACATACATTTCTGGATATTTTTAGACAAAAAACCACTTAGCTTATAATTTGAGAGGTAATATATATTGGTAAAGCATTCTGTAGTGGTCATTACAACAGTTGTAATAATAATAACAGCTCTTTGAGGATATAATACGCCCTATATACTTTTCGGAATACTCTCCTGAAATATCTCTCTCTCTCCCTGCCTAGTGATTTGAGTTTAAGATCTGGATGAAACGATTCCTGAGAGTTAGCAGTAATTACAGCACATTGAATTAAGACTAATTTTATTTATCTGAAGAATGATACTCTCTTCCCATGCATTAACTAACACTAGCGTGAGAGGTGTAAAATAGTAAATGAGACAGTTCTAACGCAAATTCCACTGCAGACTAATGCAGGCATTAGTTACAATATTACGCAGCTCTCCTTTAACCAGACACCTACTACAGGTATGAGAATTCTCTCAGCTAAGATGTATTCCAGGGAGGCTGCTGGCATCACTACTGACAACAGCAACCTACGAGGGAAGTATACTGAAGGTGAGTATGCTAGGAACATGTCCGGATAGGTTTAGTGTTATACCAAACTGGTGTTGTCAATTAAATCATTATCAATGAGAAATTTTTCGGCTGGTGTTCTAGTGAGTGACTTGGATACTCTACAGCTAAAATGTTAAGATTTTATTATGTTGTTATTTTATAGATTGTTTAGACTGAAGTGGACGGAATATATATATATATATATATATATATATATATATATATATATATATATATATATATATATATACACTAGGTTAATCGCACTGTTTTCCCCAAACATTTGCTTGTATAAACTGAAACAAACTCCATGACAGAGTTTCACCAAACTTTGTTTGTCAAACAGAGTTTGACAAACTGTTTTGTTTTTACACTGAAACAGATTTTTGTTTTACAAAAAATTTGTAAATTTATTGTTTTACTCTGTTTTACTTTTGTTTTACAAATTAATTTTTGTAAAATATTTGTTTTACTTTGAAAAACAGAATAAACAAAAAAAGGCATCAACAATTCTTGTTCATATAAATTAATACAACAAGCAAACTTGAACGCACTTATTCACCTGAACAGTCTTTCCCAAACCCACCCTTACTCATCCACCCAACAACCAACACACCCATGGTTGAGAGGCGGGACCAAAGAGCCAAAGCTCAATCCCCCACAAGCACAATTAAAAGAATAAAATTAGGTGACCACCAACCCTCACCCACATCTACCCACCATCCCCCACACACCCTAACCCACACCTACCCACCATCCCACACACCCCCAACCCACACCTACCCACCATCCTACACCCCCCCAACCCACACCTACCCACCATCCTACACATCCACTCAGAATACTCACCCTGAACGGTGATTTTGGCTGGGGACCTGGAAGTAAGTTCTCGCCCTCCACCAAGCTGGTCCCTCACCCTACAGGTGAAGGCGGTGAAGGCGTCCTCCCTGGTGACCTCCCGCACCAGGAGATCGCCCGTCCATCCCACCATCTGGTACCGCCCTTCTGAGGAGGAATTAGAACAGTATTAGAACACGGGTCTTGGCTTGAGCTCCATTAGAACACTCTCACTGTGGACAAACTCGACTAGAACATTGTCCCAATTAGGAATTATATAAACCACTGCTAATGTTCAAATTACATGATATTGTTAATAGGAACATAATTGAATCTGCTTTAATACAGATTACAAAATCAAGTAATATGAACATTTGCAGTGCTTTATATAATTTAGAACCATTTTGATTGATCAGTTAAAAGACGATTTGAGTAGGATCATTGATCCACATTTGTCTCACTAATTCATTGTTAATATCCATTATCTTATGCTATTATTATCCATGTGTGGGCCTATTGTCCCATATGATGCAGCTCTTATTTTATATCCACCTAATCCAATTTATATATTTATCATTGTAAATCACTTCACTTCACCTCTCTCTCTCCTGCCAATAAATGTCCAAACTTATTGACTTGTAAATCATTCCTTCTGAAGATGGTGACCAAACTACACATTAGAGAGTGAAGGGACGACAACATGGACCATTTTCAAGTCGATTGTGAGAATTCTTACAAACCTCACAATCGACTTGAGAATGGTCCAGGACGGACCGAAACGTCGTCGTCCCTTCACCCTCTAGCTTGTGGTTTGGTCAACATATTCCAGCCACGTTATTGTGACTCCTCGCCTGCTTCTGAAGATGCATTAATATACGAAAGTACTTAAGGAAATTCCTGTTTCAGTTCTTCCTCTGTGGTCTGACACTGTCATATTATATATATTATATATACACATACATATATATACATACATACTGCATGGGATATTCGACTGTACTCTGGTTTCTCCTTCTCTTCCCTCTTTCCTCTACTCTCCCCTCTATTTATATATATTTTAAAAAAGAAAATCAAACAGAAATGCCCACCAAACCCGATGGTCTATCACAGCTGGTAGACCACATTTAGTTCACCACAGCTGGTCTACAAGAACCGGTCGACCCCAGCTGGTCCACCAGAGCTGGTCGACCATAACCAACATCCGGAAGAACCATTATGCATCATAATTATCTCGTGTAATCTGATATTTGTATTTTAATGACGATGCCACCAGGAAATACTCACTTTTGCCTCCTGATAATTACCATATTAAATAACTTCGTCATGAGCGCGACACAATTTTTGTCATCATGTTTAGGTAAACATTTGTCAGTTTATTAACTTAAACTAACACAAAATGCTGTTTTGACTTTATTATTCCCACATTTAAGCTGAATTATGAGTCTTAATGTAACTTGTAGTAAGATAATTTATTATGCTGTATTGGTAAAAATATTATTGCATAAGTTGGATAATGTTAACCGGATTATGATGAGCATAGTAAATGTGTAATAAGTAAACCGCTCCGGATAAATATACAGCTATGAAACAATTATTAATAACAAATTAAATATTTTTTTATGTAGTGTGAATCTAAGATGAATACAAAATGAATACAAAATGAAAGATTCACAGGCTCGCACAAATTCCAAAATTCAGTTGCGATCTGTTCTTAACTTATAGGACTTAACTTATAGGAGTTATAGGACTTTAGATGCACCATCTTCGACCATGACCGCCTGCGTACGATCACCAGTTTTTGGTCAAGGTAATATGGCGGTGCACGGAACTCTATAGACGGCTCTATATCTTCGTAACATGATTGTCTAGAGCAAAGACAGGGGCGACACTTGTCTTGAGGTTATCTTGAGATGATTTCGGGGCTTAGTATCCCCGCGGCTCAGTCCTTGACCAGGCCTCTACCCACCCATCCCCTCAGGAAGCAGCCCGTGACAGCTGACTAACTCCCAGGTACCTATTTACTGCTACACCTAGGGCGACATCTAGGAATAGTCATCAGCAAAACACTTCGCTTCCCAACCTGTCCTCTAACGAAGAACGTCGCATTTCGATCGTATACGTTACATTAGGGCCAAAAAACTGTCGTACTAGAAAATGAAAGCGGCTGGCGAAAGTGACGTACTGTCCCGTTTTCTGTTTTGGGTCCTCTGGTAGGTTAGGAGAGACCACTTTATAGTGACCGTCTTGTTGACAATCACTGCACGAGAGAGTTTTGGTGATAATAAAACCAGAGCAACAGTGAAACTGAAACAGTGAAATACAGCAGCTTTGAATGAGAAGATGTGTGTTGTCAGGGTGGCTGTTGTCAGGGTGGCTGTTGTCAAGGTGGCTGTTGTCAAGGTGGCTGTTGTCAAGGTGGCTGTTGTCAATGTTGTCAGCTTGCTGTTGAGAGTCATTTCCAACATACTGCTGTGGGTCTCTGCATGTCTGACTAACGAACTATGTGACACAATTTGTATAATGCATTAAATAGTCATCAATGCATTAAATGCATTGTCATCAAACTGGATTATTAATTCATTTGCATACAAACTAAAATTAAACTCCATGCCGCACCACCAGTGGTAATTGACCTGTGTAAATGCATTGTCCACATTACATTTTGTTCCTGGCGGTCGTTCAGGACACCAAAACGACTACACTAAGCCACATTTATGAGACGGAATTGGTTGAATAAAATAATGTTCATTTCGTATAACAGCATCGAGCCAGAGTGCTGTTATTGATGCGTTGTTCAGAGCCAGACACCTTGACATTTCAATGGTGAGTCAATGTCTTCAGAATTGGTTGAAGAATGTCGTCTTAATTGGCTGAACAAGGTCGACAGAACAGGTTGAACAAGGTCGACAGAACATGTTGAACAAGGTCGACAGAACAGGTTGAACAAGGACATTTGTCGATAATTGGTGGTGCTGCAGGTGGCGGCCTGACCTGTCACACGCTAGCGACTCACGACGCTTCTCGCTAATGATTCACAGCGACTGGCAACCCGCATCCCAGCACGCCTGGGCCCCCAGCACGCCTCGGCCCCCAGCACGCCTCGGCCCCCAGCTTGCCTCGGCCCCCAGCACGCCTCGGCCCCAGCACGGCCACGTTCACAATGCTCAGCCAGGACCCACACTGGCGCACCTTGACCCATTTACGACCCTTTCACTGAACAACACGACAGAATTCTAGAACGACAGAGTGCTTGCCGCCCGTCACTGCTAAATCCCTACACGCCCTCACACTCTGTACTGAATCCATGCATGCTCGCTTCTCTGTTCAGCATCCTGGCGTCCCTCTCGAGACATCATCCCCCCTCGTCACAGCATCTTGGCAGCTGTGGAAGAGCTGAGACGTCATATCCATCGATGATGCTGTATAGGTCACGTGGCCAGGTTCAGGCCAATGGGAAGTGGCTTATGCAGACAAGCGTCAGTGAAACCGCCTCTGATTGGGCTGTGCCATAAGTAAGACTGCTCAGCATCAGTGATTTATTTATTATATATATATATAATGTTAAATATGACCGAAAAAGAAAGATTAATAATTCTAACACGAATTTTCTCAATATTTCTTATGTTTCATTTTACTGTTTTATGTTTTACTTTTTACTGTCTTTTTACTGCGACAGTAAAAAAGAAACATAAGAAATATTGAGAAAATTCGTGTTAGAATTATTAATCTCACTTTTTCGATCATTTAACATATGTTTACAAGAATGACTGCTACCAAAGTATACTAATTATATTATATTATATTATATATATATATATATATATATATATATATATATATATATATATATATATATATAATATTTATATATATATATATATATATATTTATATATATATATATATATATATATATATTTATATATATATATATATATATTTATATATATATATATATATATTTATATATATATATATATATATATATATATATATATATATATATATATATATATATATATATATGTCGTACCTAGTAGCCAGAACGCACTTGTCAGCCTACTATGCAAGGCCAAATTTGCCTAATAAGCCAAGTTTTCCTGAATTAATATATTTTCTCTAATTTTTTTCTTATGAAAAGATAAAGCTATCCGTTTCATTATGTATGAGGTCAATTTTTTTTTATTTTAGTTAAAATCAACGTAGATATATTACCGAACCTAACCAACCCTACCTAACCTAACCTAACCTATCTTTATAGGTTAGGTTAGGTTAGGTAGCCGAAAAAGTTAGGTTAGGTTAGGTTAGGTAGGTTAGGTCGTCGAAAAACAATTAATTCATGAAAACTTGGCTTATTAGGCAAATCTGGCCTTGCATAGTAGGCCAAAAAGTGCGTTCTGGCTACTAGGTACGACATTATATATATATATATATATATGTCGTACCTAGTAGCCAGAACTCACTTCTCAGCCTACTATTCAAGGCCCGATTTGCCTAATAAGCCAAGTTTTCCTGAATTAATATATTTACTATAATTTTTTTCTTATGAAATGATAAAGCAGCCCTTTTCTCTATGTATGAGGTCAATTTTTTTTTATTGGAGTTAAAATTAACGTAGATATATGACCGAACCTAACCAACCCAACCTAACCTAACCTAACCTATATTTATAGGTAAGGTTAGGTTAGGTAGCCAAAAAAGCTAGTTAGGTTAGGTTAGGTAGGTTAGGTAGACGAAAAAACATTAATTCATGAAAACTTGGCTTATTAGCAAATCGGGCCTTGAATAGTAGGCTGAGAAGTGCGTTCTGGCTGTTAGGTACGACATATATATATATATATATATATATATATATATATATATATATATATATATATATATATATATATATATATATATATATATATATATATATATATATATATATATTTACATTATATATATATATATATATATATATATATATATATTTATATATAATACAATGAAGCAATGAATATTTATATATATATATATATATATATATATATATATATATGTCGTACCTAATAGCCAGAACGCACTTCTCAGCCTACTATTCAAGGCCCGATTTGCCTAATAAGCCAAGTTTTCATGAATTAATGTTTTTTCGTCTACCTAACCTACCTAACCTAACCTAACCTAGCTTTT